TGGCTCATCTATGTTGTATGGTTGTTAGTGCTGCCGCCTCACAATTCTTGGGTCATGGTTTCGATTCTGGACTAGGGTATTCATATGGGTTTTCCCTGGGTGCTCCTATTTTTTCCCCACCTTCTGTAAGCATTTTAGCTAGGTTAATTGGTGTATCTGGATTACCCCTGTGTGCAGTGTTTGCACGTGCACATCTCGCCCCGCAGTAGACTGGCGTCTTGCCCAGGGTGCTGTTCTGCCTTGTGCCCTGTGCTTCTGGGATAGGCTCTGGGTTGCTGAAGCCTCTCTTTTATGAGCAGATGTGTCAGAGGGCAGCCTGTCTCATTATTAATTGTTTTTGATTAAGGCAGCAGTTCCTAAGGAAATATGTATGCAGTGAACATCACCACTGTAGTGTGGGCTTTTGGGCTGACCAGGGTCATCTTGGTGTCTTCTTAAACCGCCAGGATGGTTTGAGGGTGACTTGCAGAGACCCCAGTGAAAACTACACTGCTCCCCCAGTCACTTTAAGACTCCTTGGCACTTGCCCCTGTCACAGATGAATGGCTCTGACAGGTGGATGTGTCAGAGAAGAATCTGGCGTTTTAAAATCGGGGCATATTTAAATCCAAAATAATAATTAGTCCTTGCAGGAAAACTTCTATTTATAATTGATTTAATTAATGTGTTTGTTTTCAAGTTAACCAGCCAGTAGATAATAAAATGAGTGTGCTTTATAGACCTTAGTGTTCAACTATCCAGTGAAAAATGAAGAAGAAAACACAGGACATCCGTCCTGCTACTCAGCATAGTCGAGCAATAATGCCCTCATTCCTAAACAACTGCTTCATACTGTTCGTCGCTGCTGCTACAAATACATTAGAAATCAATTATTTATGGAACCAAGTTAAGACTTCTTTAATCTTGTTCTTTTATCCAATTAAAGTGTCTAACCACACTCAGCCTTCCATATCTTGCCTTGAATGCTTTTTATTTTTGGTTTATGTATAACAGGGAATTAAAGCTGGAGAGGAAAGGAGAATAAAAGAAAGAATGTGTAAAGTGTAAATTAACTTTTTTAGCTAGTTGCAAAGGATCTATTTGAAGTTTTAATATTTAATAGTTATGTACCCCATTCCAAATGCAAAGGGACAAATGGGAACAATGTGTTCTTTCATGCAAGGAATTCCTGATGCCTGGATGAAACAGCAAAAACTATTAAGAATAATTTCCATAGGGCAAATACTCAGTTTAACTTGTTTTTTTTATCCAGAGTAATTTAGAAAATGTTGCATTTGACCTATTTCTTATACTTATGCAGGAATCACTCAAAACTGTTGACAAATATTGACTGTAACAAATAATATATGATTCCATGTAGCACGTAATTTTCATTGCATAAATCGAGTTTAAGAATATTGCTAGAATATTGGACAACAAAATTAATTGTAGTCACAGTTTTCGTCAGTTTTGTTTTTTGTAATGGTAAAAATGCTCGCTCTCTAAAACATACTGTATTAAATTTCTCTTTGTAGAAGATAAAGGTTTGGAAATGTTTATTAAAAACGTTTGAACAGAACTCACCATATGTGATGGAAGTATGTCATATTTGTTTAAGACTCCACTGTTTCATCGTTTAGCTGATCCTCGATACAGGCAGACATATGTTGCGTTTATTAGATCTACTACTAAAGCTGTTACTCGTTTATCTCCATTTATATGTCCCCACTAAGCCCAAAGTAGGGTACATTGTATTTTAGTGTCACAGCACAGCTTTAATTGAAATAAGGTATAGTATTAGACAGCTTACATTCAATGTGAAATGGAACAATGAGGAAATGCCTTAATTAATCTTTTCAGTTTTTTCCACAAAAGATAGCATTTAGTCATAGTCTTAAATAATGTTAAAACCTCTTCAAGGTGAAGTTAAAGACAGACTGTATTTTTACCTTATCACTGATATGAATGTCTAAAGTGAAAAAGGCATGTACTGTACAGTAATTATAATACTTCAACATAGTTGTGCCGATTCTGAAAAGTAGAGGTAATTATAACCAGCACCAGCCATTGGATAGTAAGACATATAGATTGACGATTACTTCATATCTCATGAAATATCTTTACACAGATTTTTGCTTTTTGTTTTAGATGCACTGTTGGGAAATACTCATTTTGTATCTATGGAGAGGTTTTGAAAAAAACTGAACTTATACCTTTAGCAGTATACTTGTGGATTTAAAAGAAATCTGTTCTGTTCGTGTTCATATTGAATTTGAACAACAAGGTCTTGTTATTAAGCACAGACTAATCAATACAGGTCTATCTATTGAAGTGAGATTCAGAGTAATAAATAGCTTCTGTTCATTTTAACAAAAAGGGAATAGCAGTGATATTATCGTAGCATTAGATGAAGCAGGTCTGGTAATACATTTCTAAAGTTCACAGCTATGAATTTTTAAGGTTTTAGCTACGGAGCATTCTTTATGTACAACTTTTTAATGTATCTGTCATTTTATATGTACTTAAATAACTGGATGAAGTAGTGAACTCTGTGACCTCCATCACCTTTTGAACTTCACCAGTTCCTTACAGAAATGTCAACTGCTGCTGCAAGGAATGTCAGGACCTCCCCTGTAACCTCTGTACCATGTTAAGGACATGTTACTCAGCGCAGGCTGAGAGTCTTTACTAAACCCAATGAGACAGTGTTCTGTCATGCGTTCATTCTCCTCTTTAAAGAAGAGCAATCCAGAGAAGTTGCAATTTAACACTAGGGGAAAGAAAATTCAAAGCTCCTGATGTGTGTATCTAACACGGTACTGTTGATAAACCTAATCTTAACTTTGTACTAAAATTATTTCATATAATTTCAATATAAATTCTCTGTTGATCTTTGCAAAGCATTTTTATTTTATTGCACTCTTTGCTAGTTGGGATAGGGTTTTCCTAATTCCATCAAATCAATATTTTCTTGTAGCACTTTTTTGTTTTATACATTGTTTTTGAACTATAGAAAAAGTCATTGGCGGTTTAGTTAAAAGAAATGCAATCACATTCTGGATTGCCTAAGTCAAAAGTGTTGAATTCCTTTCTAAGAAGGTATCAGAACACAGCCTACAGGGCAGCAGCAATGTGTTTTTAAAGAGTGATCTCCCACTAGTTTTGGCAGGACATGCAGGAAGAGCCTATTGCTATTCGAAAGTGCCCCTGTGTGTGCTGAACTTGAGACCTGTATCACTTATAAGGTGCCTGTAGGAAAAGGATTTCCGACAGTTTTCCTTTTCGCTGTCTACAGGCTAGACCACTTAGAAAATGTTTGACTTTCTTTTCCTTCCACTTAAGTGAATTTCTGAATAGAGGCCAATTATTGGTTTAGATTTTTGACAGTTTGAATTAATGACCTCCTTGTTTAATTTACTTGAGATTTTATAAACTTTGCGATATCCATCTAAGATAAGCCATCTCATTATTCAGGAGGTTGCTGAGGCTGTTGCACTTTGTGTCAGTTGATTCATTCTAACGTTTGACTGTAAATCTCTCAGTTGCATGGCAGATTTAATGCACTGGATTCAACATCAGATTCATAGCATTTAAGGTGCAATGTTAGCACATGTAAAAGGTTAAAGATTGGCTTATGCAAATTAATTTACCCACCTGCATTTGTAGGTTACTCAATCTTTAGTTAAAAACCTTGCTTGCCTGGACAGGCTCCAGCTCCCCTGCAACCCTGTATTGTATAAAGCTCTTAGAAAATGGTTGGATGTTACTGACTTGAATTCAAGAAAAAACCCTTAACCAAACCAAATTGGCAGATGAAGTCTTTCTGTTGTACATTATACATCAATACCTGGGTGCAAAGAATATACTGTATGCTTTGTATTGTATTGCTTATTTTTTTGTCTTATGTAAACACGCTAAAGTTCTAGGATGCTCCCATTTTTGTGATATCTCCCTTAGCTGTGCTTGCACTGTACAATACAAAACTAAGCTAAGTTGAATTAAAAGTTAAGGCAGGCAAAAAATAAAGCCAAACTTAAATTAATTCACAATATCTAAAATTTACACTGAGAGGATCTGTCAGAGGATGTGAAAGAAAACATTTAGAGATATCTCCAAACTTTAAGATACCGTTAATTAAATTGGTAGTGTCATTAATTGGGTTGAAGATATCTTGCAATGAGTTCAAGACATCTTAACTCAATTAAAGATATCTTCAACTGAATTAGAGATATCCAAATGCCACGTCTTCATTACATGCAATCCGGCTTTCCCTCTTGTTTAAAAATATCAGTAATGTTGCTCTTCAATACCAATGTAAGCTGCTCTAGACTAATAGTTATCAGTGCTGTTTTCTCTTCGTTTAAAATAGATCTGTGTATTTTTTTTGTAGAGATGATACTGTATGTAGCACATACTGTATAATGATTTATAAATTATATAGAATGGTTAAGACAAATTATGGCCCTGTTCTTTCTTGTTTGTGTACTGATTTAAAAAAAAGATTATTGTCCTTTCTTTCAATTTTGTATGTCACACTGCCTGGATTTACAGTATGTATTGTTGTATTGTATCTGAAACATTACTTAGGATGTTAATTTATGAAACAGGGCAAAAACTCCATTTCACTTTTTAGGTTTTTTTGTTACTATGTATGACCAGTAACACCACTTACAGTACTTTACTATAATATAATATTCATCTGCTTTGCCACAGTGCATTTGAGTATATTCTGAGATTAAATATTTTCTAAACTAGTAAGGGAAAAATAATAATGGTACTGTAATTCAAGAAGAGAAAAATCATCCATAATGCTATCCTAAGAAAAGTCTTTTTGAGACTTCCCAGCTGTGTGGAAACCTTGCTGGTTGGCTGGTAGCCTGCATTAGCTTTGAGAGCTGGGCAGTTTCTGTGTTACTTACTGTTACACGTAATGCAATAGGCCTTACTTGGGATGTGTAAAGCATCTGGGGCCCCAGCCTCCTTGCCCGGTGTCTGAGCTCCTCTTTCTGTGTCTCCGCCAGGCCGCTGTGCCTGCTGTGGGGAAAATGTGGTGGGAGAAGGCACCGGCTGCACTGCCATGGACCAGGTGTTCCACATCGACTGCTTTATCTGCATGACCTGTGGCCGCAAACTCCGGGGAAAGCCTTTCTACGCAGTGGAAAAGAAGGCGTACTGCGAGCCCTGCTACATCGTGAGTACAAACAGCGGCGAGTTTTCTTTTCTCAGGGAGAATCGTGTCGTCTTCGTCATGCCCCCTCCCAGGTCCCAGTATGGATTACAGCGAACCAAGTCAGCGCGATCGCTACGGACATTACACCCGTACAGGGGGAAATGGGGCTGAGGGCCGTGCTCGCTTTCCTCCACAAGCTTGTCTAAGCATGTAGCCCATACACAGGGGTTTGCCTCGACTGGTGATGCAGCAATACAGCTCTTACTGGTAACAGTGTCAAGCCACAGGGGCTGCCCTTGCGCTGAGACTTGGAGAGTCCATCACATTTTAGAAATGGGTTAGTTAGTGTGGTCAAGAATGCTCACCCTTTGCAGGTGAATGCTCTCAAATACCATTTACCATTGGTAAAAATCTGACTATTTACTTGAAACTGGTAATTCAATTTCTTTCATTCTAAGTACGATAAACTTTACTTTTGTTCCACAGACATTAAAAATCTTAATTATCACAAGTATTCAAGTAATTAAGTACTGTCTTTCAGCCCAACAATATGTATTGGTTACCCTGCATGTTCTACATTTGCTTAAAATGTGCAGCTGATGTGGAAGGACTGCAAGCCATTAACAAAGTTTATTTTATCTTTAGGCAGCTGATGTGAAATGTGCACAATGGCATCTCTACTTTAAATTGGATGATCATAAGACATTTCACACCAGGTGATGGTCTGTGAATATTAAATACAAAGATTAAAAGAAAATAGTGGTAAAGCATGTAAAGGGTTCATCCGTCTGATACACAAATCTTTCAGGAAGTATATCTGATAAGCATTCGTACATTGGCAAATCACACTCAAGATATTAAGCAAATATTAAAATCAAATTAAAATCCAAGATAGCATTACTTCCCTTTGTAGATTTGAAATGAAATAATGGCCTTTCCCACCTCTTCCTTTTTCGTCAGCCAAAAATATCCTTTGAAAATTCTTTTCTTTCTACAAACAATGAAGTTCATCAAAAAAGGGAAATTAAAATGAGTTCCAGTAACATAAGTTGCAAGTAACATTTTCTGGTAGTTGATGAGATGTGACTTTTTCTAGAAACTTGTGAAACTCTCCTTTTTTTCCCTCCGGTAACCTGATGGTTATGCAATGTAGATATCCAGTAATTCTAAAGTAAGGCAAGTCTTGTGGTACCAGAATCTTATTTTTCTAATTTAATATATATTTCTAAAAGCAATTATTCAGTTATATTTACAGTAAGTGAATAGTCACTAACAAGATTTACTAAAGGCAACGTGGGTAAAGATAAATTTGTAAAGGGGCCTACAGTATAAACTATTTTAAAGGATCCAATACTAAAAAACATGAATTTACATGATAATTAGCAAAGCATTTTGTTTATTGCTCTACAAAATTTATCACAACTGACCAGTTTTTTTTTCCTTTTCACTAAAAAGTGTATTTGCATAAAAGGATGATAAAAAACATTTTTCTTCATAGTATTTCTAAACATATCCTACCCCCCAAAATCTTGTGATTTTATAACGTTTTTCCGTTTTGTTGTCCAAACACTATAATAAACAAAAGACAAGCGGCATTTGTAACTAGACATGGAGCGAATCTGCCTCGTTGTCATTTGAAAGGATATGTTCTGGCAGACCTTGTGCACTTTGGTTCCAAGTTCTTCTTTGGTAAGAGGAGGGAAATAGTATAGTTGTTATTTCAAGCGTCTCCAAAAATACAGAGTGGGGTTGCAGCTTGAACTGTGAGAAAGCCTTCAGGGCCTCTATGATTCTCTTCTCTAGGAATTTATTCATTTCTCTCAGCTTAGGGTCTTGTTCCCTCTTTTCATCTTCTTATCCGTTGATAATCACTAAAACAGAAACCAATGTGTAACTGCAACTGAAGAAGTCTTCTCTCAACAATCTCTCACCAGCCCTGCCTGTAACATTGAATCCAAAATCAATCTAAATTCAACAGAATATCATGTCTGTGTTAATCAAGGGTCTGTGGACTAAAGAGTACTTTTCTTAGTGTTCACATTTCTCAGTTCTCAGAGTTACATAATTTAACATAATTATGTAGGTCAACAGTTAAATTGATCACAATGGAATTGGTCCATATCTTTTGAACCCGGGATTTAATGTTAACCTTCAAAACATGCTGAGGAATTAATGTTAAATATCTGGATATTAATATTTTTTATATATCTTATACTATGTACAAATAGCAAGTAAGTTTTCTGCATGAAAGAACAGCAAGATCTCATGCATGAAACCCACGTTACTATGGTTGTGTTTACATGGTACTTATTCTGGTAAGTATTTCACAATCTGAAGAACATGACTGTGAACACCAGGAAGAGCCAAGTGGCAAGAGGAATCAGGAGAGCTGACTGCTAAAAAATAGACCAGTGTGTTTCAGAGAAATTAAGTTCCCACTCACAATGTTTCGGTGTGCTTAGGGATTTTCGTAGTCTGTGATTTGGCCAGCTATTATCATCCTGCAGATGTTTGCTCACACTCAGTGATATTTAAATGCATGGGGCTAACATACTGTTGTAGGAAAAAAAAACCATGAAATGGTGTCAAAACGTCACTTACCTTATTTCTTTTGGTTTTCTCCTAGTACTGATACAAGAATTTTTAACATGGACTTTATTATCTCTAATCCCTAACTTGCACATCTTGAGTTAATGAGTTGTTTTGAGTTGCTGTTTTTAGATCTGTAATGTAATATTAGTGCTTCCCAATGGTCATCTCAAACTGAAAGATAAAACTCCTTCTGTAAGTTATTAGAATTGAAGTAAAATTGCACAGAATTTAAATCATTACACGGAAGTATTTAGTGACTGCTTAGTTTTTCTGATGCAACTTTTACAGAAAATTATCATTACAAAATTATAAAAACATTATCTTTTTTATTTCATCCTTCAGGTAAGCTTCAGCTTTGCTGAATGTCACAACAGTAGTCTGTAGTCTGTAAAGAAGATCTGTTATTCTTTTCATTTTTTTAACTTGAAAGATTTAGCTTTCGAGTAGTTTTTGTGTATGCAAGTAAACAACTTATACGTACTGTATAGTTTTTACGTTTTGTTCTTAAATCATTTTGACTCGGCAGCACTCAAAGTGATTGTACCAGTCAGTGCTGGATGTTCTCCAGCTCTGGTACATTCACTAAAGAGTGTAAGATAATTCAAGAACTTTATTTATGCATTTCATCAGCATAAATGTTCTTCTGGCGTAAGATCAAAAGGATGGAAAAAATCAGAAAAAGGATCTTCCTTAATGAAAGTTATTTCTTCTCCTTTTATTCCCTTCCTCAGGGTCATACGCCTCTGTGTGATTAAGGAATGTGCGTAAGACTTTTGTCTCTAAAGAGACATGTGAATCCTAAGTGCAGTACAGGAAACTAGAAAAAACCTTGAAGTAAGTCTAGGAATCTTAAAATGCTCACAGTACACACAGTTTTTTTTTCCACGAAGAAACAGAATTCAAATAAAAAGCACAAAAATAAAATTGGTCCTGAAAAATGACACCTGTCTTGTGACCTAACTCCTGTTTAGCAAATGGAGATTCTTTGCAAATGCATTTGACACAATGTTTTTTAGTCAAGGATTCCTCTGTTTGATTCTTCAAACAGGAGGTTTGATGGTTTGATGTTTTTTTTAAGTTCGTGATGTGAATTTAATGCCTAGTCTGATGGAATTGAATTGTTATACTCTCCACATTTCCGTTTTCCAGGTGGTGTTTCCTTGGTGATACAAATAACAAAAGTTGCAAGATGTTGACAGAAGATAAGTTGCAGGATTTATTTCATATACTGTAGTGTAGGGTATTTCACACCACTACTCATAATTTTGTGGATGATGGGGAACGAGGAGTAAAATTGCAATATATAGAACTATCAATGAAGATGATGCAATATTACTTGGAAAATGAAATGGCATTTTAATCAAATTAGATTTCACAATTCTTAACCTGTCTTCACAGCCTTTCTTTAGTAAGCAGAATAATGGCAAAATATTTCATGCTGCTGCCAAGATTCGGTAATGAATAGAAAGCACATCCTAAGTTATGTTAGGTGCAAACCAATGAACTGACATTAAGATTTGTTAAAAACAGCTAAGTCGCTCTCTCTTTGTTCTATATACTTACAGCTTAATAAATTGAAGTGTCAGCCAAAACATTGATTTAATAAATTATAGAATATGAAGAGAGGGTTACTTACTATTTTTTAAAATAATGGTATAGTACTGCCTAGTACCATACATTATTTAAAATTTGTTGAAAGGTGAGCCTCAATATTTATGATTTTTTTAGATTTATATTTTTAGTATTAACAAAAAGTGCTGGATGGACAAGACAAGGCCCCCTGTCTATTCCTAAAGTAATTGCTCTACAGGAAGCAGCAGTTATTTCCCCCTGCTGTGCTTGACTACAATGAGCCTGCACTTGCCTTAATTCATTGGTAATGCTGTTACATGTATCGAACTCTTCCACACACACTGCCAGCTGTCATGTCTTTCTATAATAACTTTAACATATTTTATTCCATATGCAGTTCAGTTGTTTTAATCATGATGGTGTAGTTCCCTGATGACTCTTCATCTTTTCCTGCTTTGGACTAGTTATGTGACATTCCTTGTCCTGGACAGATTTGGCATGAGCACTAATTTACAGAATCTCTAGTTATTGAAGGAGCCACACAAAATCTGCCTGACTAGGGCTCTTTAGAACCAGGCCTAATGATCACAGGCAAAAAGCTAAAGATATTTAGTAAACTTACTGTACTTTACAATGACATTGAGCATTAGTATAGTAATAGAGTACTAAAGCATTGTAGTAAAGCTATCAAGTTGTGTTCCATTTATATCATATATCATTTATATAATATAGTTTATGTAGTTTACAGTATGTCTATACAGTACATGCCCGTTTGTTCCAGAAGAGATTGTTTTTTATTGTTGTTTGTTTTGCTGAACTCAGATAGGTTCCAACATTTCCAGATGATACTTGTAGGT